CCTGGGCCCTACCTGGGCCCTACCTGGGCCCTACCTGGGCCCTACCTCTCCTATCTCGTTCCAAATACCTCATCAGGAAGCCTGCCCTCCGCCCCTGCGCGCCCCACCCCATGTCCGAAAAAAGTAAAAGACCCTCGAATCGGTATTTGGAAAACCGTTTTCCAAAAAGGCCCAAAAAAAAGGTCTAGTTCCATGCTGATTACTTGTTAGATTGAGTGCGCCCATTCCTCTTCCGCACGCTGGAAGAACCCCACAACCCTGAAAAGCCCACCACTTTCGGAGCCTCCAAGTCCAGGTCCACCACCTTGGGGCCTTGATCACACGGATTCGCGAGACATGTGGTCAAACATGAGTGAAGGTGGGACAATTAACATCAAAAGGTCTCGAGTAGTCTGACCGAATGGCGAATGGTTTTTGTTCACCCATCCATTGCCATCACAATGTTGGGGGTCAGTGTAGAACCCTAAAGCCGTCCGGATTCAGCTGAATGTCTCTCCAAAAGGCCATGTCTTGCGCCGTGCCTCACTGCCCTCCCTGAGCTTCCCACCGTCGAAGACCTGAGCGTTTTTCTCACGGTTTTCTCACAATTTATTATGCTATACCGACTGTTCTTGGCCAGGGTGGACCCCCAATAACCCATCTCAGTGAAGGTGCTCCAACATCTTGCATTTAACCCAGGGATGTTGAGCAGTTGCCACTAAATCTCCGGCTTGAGCAGTTGGTTTCCTGGAGCGTAAGAGTGGAGCTTCAGCACCTAGTGGACCCTAAAAAGTTGGGTAGTCATGATAGGGTATGAAGCTCCCCTGGTTCAGTTCAAACTCATATGTGTGCATGTATATATAGGAATATTCATAGGCTCTTACATACACTGCATTGCGTCCGTCACACCGCATAACATCACATAAATATACATACTGACCAAACCTAACATGACATACCATAAGATTGCATTGACATGCATGCACCACATGTGCATGTGTACTCATCCATGACCACGACTGCCCCCTCAACCCACGGCCCTCACCCAGCTCCATCGACCACGTGGCACGCGATCCACTTGGCGAGCTGGTGCCACCGGTGGTCGTCGAATCCTGGTGATCCGAGACGCGCCCGGGACCCTCCCGGGCTCCTTGGCTCGGCCCACCCTCCGAGTCATGGAGAGTCATGGACCTGATCCCCTCAACCTCAACCTCACTAAAGGGCTGCGCTTTTTTCTGATGGCTTCGTGGTACTCTTGGGCTTAAACTCTTCAGGGGGCCTGGGAGACCATGTCCCATCTCTATGTTGGCCTTTTGCTTGGGCAAGCTTCACGTTGAGCACGCGCTTATGATGGATGGCTTCTAGAGATAACATAAGAAAGCCTGAAAGTGGACTTCCAGACGGTATTTGTGCACCTTTTCTCGCCTGCACCGATCCAGCCTCCGAGTCTAAATCCAGGGCGATCTGCCTCTCCCAGCACTTGGGAGTTGACTGTGGGCTCCAGATGCTTGAAAAGGGGCGAGTTTTACCAACACCTTCAAAATCCTTCAAAGGCTAGTGTTCAAAATCTAGGAAGGAAGGAAAAGGGACACCCTGCCCGCCCTGCTCTAAAGAAACATTTATAGAACCACGCTGCACCAACACAATGCAGCTAAGGCAGCTGATTTTCCTACTGTACCACGCTGGTTTTTGCAGCCAGTGCCACCAACAACCGGGTGATTCTTGATGGAACAACCACTGGTAAAGCAATCCACTGAGCTCCACTCGCTTCCTGAACAACCTCGCCTCGCCTCACATCAAGGCCTCGCCTCGCTGCCAGCTTTCCTTGCCAACTCAGCTGGCTCACATCGTTCGACGCTTCCGACTTCAGCTGGCTCCTGGGAGGCCACACAAGCTGGCTGCACGCATCACCGTGTCAACCATCAATGGGAGCATGAATGACCAATACCTTTAGCAAAGATTGTAGTCGGAAATCCGGTTCCGACACTCGGTGCAGGCCCGTGGGCCCGTGGACTATAGATTTGAGGAGTATATAAGTAGGCGTGTTGGCCATTGTGTAGCTGTTCCGCGTTGGTGATGTATGTGGCGAGACTCACTAGCACTAGCACTTGAAAAGCTGGAAAAGCATGCATCACAGCATCACGTGCCTTTAGGGCCAGAGAAAGGAAATAGAGACTTGACTAAACTGACTAAACTTGCATGGAGCACCCAGCCGAGACAAGCACGACAGCGTGTGGCCTCTCGCAGGAAGCGCTCAAGGACAAGACATCCACGAAGGAGGCATCGACCTCGGGTCGACCAGCAGAGTGCCAATTCAATAGGAGATCGGTTTGCTGACGAATGGGGGATTGTTGGGAACGCGGTCCGCCACCTCGCTTTGCAAGAAGATTTGTTCAAAACGCAATGACGGCGCCAAGATCAACACCCTGTTTCTATTGTTTTTGGTAACAGTCCGAGAGAGAAGATGCCTTTGAAAGAGTTGATTTTGCTCAAGAATGCTTTTTGCCCACCTCCTTCGCATATACCAAGTTAGGCTCAAGTTTGGCCCTTGGACTTAGGCATAAGGCAAACGGAGCGTATATTGTCTTGTCCAGAGTTTTGGACTGAGATTAGAATGAGAGGAAGTGATGAATCACAAGAGCCACCTGCAGTAGAACTGTGAATCTCCACGTCAGCCCTGGTTGAGGTCTTGCCTTGAAACCACAGAATTCCCAGTCTGCCTTACCACAAAGCCAATGAATCAAGGCCTCCAGGACTAAATGCAAGAGGGTTAATGGTTTGATTCGAACAATTCAATCAACTGCATGCTAAGAGATCCAGGGCTGGTATATAGATGTTTGAATAGATAGATAATCAATAGATATATATATATATATATCCATACCCACTCCCTATTGGATTGACCAATTGCACCCACCAAACGCACGCCCGACCGCGCTTAAGCAACGGCCCGCGTTGAAACGCACGGCCTTCGCTCCCAAGCCGGGCACCTCCGGCTTCGAAGATGAGCTGGAGCTCCCTCCACTGAGGTAGTGGTCCATGCGCTCCTTAGTAGAGATCTCCACGACCTCTCTTTTTGGGGGGCGATAAGACCCAGCCACAAGCGGATCTCCAGGTGTAACAAGTGGACGTGCAATTACGCTCGAGACCTTTGCTCCACTCACGACAAGAAACTCTGAAACATCCATGAAACATCTGTGTGAAGGACGTACTTTCAAAAGTGGTCACCACACCACACCTGTGCTGATTTCCAACTAAGGGGTGCATCGAGCGCACCAAGGAACCAAAAGCCAGCTCGGAAACCAATGGCTGCAAGTTACCCTCGTGCCCTGGGAACACGGCCATGGTCAGGAAAAGCTGACAAGGAGACAAGCTGAGCTCTTCTGTGATGCCAAAGATGGCCACTTGCTGGCCAGCTGGCGCTTCCCCCAAGTCATGCCAAAGAAAGCGCCGTCACACAGTTCGCCCGGCAGCGCCACGCCGCCCGAGCCCACGCCGCCCGAGCCCACGCTGCCGCAGTCCGCTGCCAGGGCTCTGGGTCGCCCTTGAGGTCCAAGACATCCAGGAAGGGCGCCATCATGCGCTCCTTGCTCTCACGAGTCTCCTGAGTGCCAACGTGCAAACCACAGTCGGCCCACTCAGGTCAGGTCTCGAGCCAGGCCCAAAATCGGACACCTCCAGCAGCATCCAACTACCAAGCGCTTTAATACAAAGCAAAAGGGTTCCAAAACATGCGTCCATCTTGTGTTGGGCACTGTGCCCCCACCGCCTCAGTTGACCTCGCCACCACCAAACCAACCAACGCAACCCACACGCCGGGCCACCCAACCACTCCACAGCAACCCCCGCACCCTGCCACGTCCCGCTTACGCCCACGCGACGTGCAGAACCACCGCGCTCGCACGCACACCTCGCGCGCATCGGTCGGTCGGCACCGCCCGAGGCGCGGAGTTCACGGTGGGGATCAGCCGCTTCGGCCGCAGCTGCCGCACCAAGGCCTGGAGCTCGTCGAAGGAGCTGTGCTCGCCTCGAGCTCGGTAGGTCGGAGGGCCGGTGGCGGAGTGGAGTCCGGGCGGGCTCCAGGTTGTGAGGAAGGCGGTCAGGCGTTCCATAGGGAGGGGAGAGGTGGACAATAAGATATATACAACCACTGGTGCACGGCAGCTTGCGTGCTTAAGAACCTCAGCAGGCTCACTGACTGCTTGCACCATTGCAACCAGAGATCCAAAGGCATCCACTGAATCCACGCGTCACTGATTCCATGCTGCCAAGCGGCTGTACGGAACACTGTACACCCGCGTGCGGCCGTCGTTTTCCGCCCAACAGCGGCAGCCAGTGCTCCTGGTCAGCCGAGCCACTCAAAGAACACCACAACTGGTCAGTCGAGCCAAGCGCACCGAAGAATGTAAGATTTCTTGTTGACTTAGCGATGCCCTTGTTCCCATATACTATAGTAGCCTCTTTCTACTAGCAGTAAGGCCAGGAGCTCCTAGTAGCGTCCTTGCTCCTGGTCGACGGCGATGCCCTTTGTTGAGCGCAATGCATGAATGCCACAATCCTGCATGACTAGACTAACACCACTTGCACCCGACCCACCCAAGCAGTTCTAGAGAATAGATCGAAGAACATGACCCCGAAAAGGGTGACCCGAAATGATTCCCGATCCGCACACATCCTGGCACTTTCCCAACCTGTTCTGCCGCCTGATCTGCGGCCCCCATGCCCACACCGCTCCCCTGCGCCATGCCCTTCGACCAGGACCACCCAGTGGGGCTGAAGGCCACGACGGCCTGGCGGAGGATGCATGGACCAGGGTCCACTTGGCATGGTGGTTGTACTGCTCCCAATGCTATCGTGCACAAAAACATAACATGTCCTCCGGCCTCGAACTGCCCCTTCGTTGAATCCAAGAAGTGCTTCAGGACATCATGCGCCAGTCCGCCCAGCGCCTGGGCGGCCCCAAGCCCAAACGCATGTCTCGTCGGAAGAGCCCAAAAAACAAGGGTCAACATATCCTGAGCACAACGATGGATCAAAAATTGTCAAAACAAGCTGTGCCATGTCTTCTGGGGGACGATTATATACGCCTGAACAAGCGATTCTGAAGTTCTGGAAGGCTACGGGGATGTAAATCACCGCCACAGCTCTGTTGGCATTTGGTTTGGGGGTTCTGTCAGGTTTGCTCTCGAATCAACAATGGCCTCATGAGCGTTTTCAAGCTCTCCCAGCTGGCCCAGCTGGTCAAAATGATTTTTGCCCCCCACACCGTGCTAGGACAGCTGACTGCGACTCAGCCACACACATCCAAACGCAGCAGCCCTCCTTGTCGATACTCCACAAGCGCTGCCCTTCGCACAGCTCAGCATCGCCCCAGCCTTGCATGTTCAGCGCTCGGGCTCAGCGGGCTCAGCGGGCTCATTGCACATGAATCACTTTTTTCACAATCTTCACATTCGTCAAACTGATGCATGGCATTTCATGACCCATTTCAATTACAGTGAAGGCACCCATCAAATGAAATCCATTTTGAAAGGCGAAGCATTGTTCTCGTGCTGTTAAAGAAAGAGGAAACTGCTGGAAAATCCAAGCTGTCAAAACAGAGGTAGTGTCCGAAGAACTACGTGTGAGGTGAATGAACACGAGGATCAAACACAAGCGAATTGGAAGGTCAAACAAATGACCGCGGCCGCGCGCCGTTTTCGGCATCTCAAGCCCGCCCTGCGGTGCGAGCAAGTCAGTCAACCTAGTTCGACGGCGTCCGAACTCACACCGGTGGTGGTGTTCAGTACGCCAGGGCCTGGAAAGCTAAAAACCAAGCCTGCATGTCGGTCCGCAAGCTTCCCCCACCCACTGATGGTGAGGAGTTGGGAAAATCCAGTGGTGACCTTGGATCTCCACAAAACGAGCAATGGCGCAGGACCAACCGATTTCTCTCGTTGATCTGGGGCGCCGTCTGACAGTGCTCGTAGTGCCAAGCCACTCCGGTCTTGGATGCAATGACAGGTCGTGTAGTAGGGCAAACACTCATGTGGGAACCAATGCCATTCTCACACCTTTGCAGCAGACTTTGGGCAGAGCTGAGCATGGTGAAGAGGTGTTGCCTTTCACTGTACCATGCATTGCGCTCTTCCAAGTTGAGCTCAATGGCCCGTCTGGCCTCGAGTGCCGCGTCTCGGTACTCTGAGCTGCGCTGCTGTTCTAGCTGGAGTTGTTCACGCAGCCGGGAGTAGACGATCAGTTCGTCCTTCTGTGTTGAAGCTTCTGAGGTTGCCGGTGGTGGTGTCGGCAACGGAGTGGAGCTTCCTCGTCGGCCACTGACAAAGCCGCAAAGGAAGATGACAGCAAAAGGAAGCACTTGTACCAAAAGAAGTGCAGGGAGAAACCAATTGTCATCATCATTCACCACTGGCTCTTTGGGCGGTGCGATGTCTCCTTTGGAGGGAGATGGTCGCTCTTCACATTGATCACCAGTTGCCCCACAGGTCTGCAGCATCATCAGCCAAAGTACCCAAACCATGACATTCTTGATGCGACACTGAGTGTTATACTTCTGGCGGCGGCAGCCGACATGGCTTGAGGCGAAGGCATGCACAATCACATGCTCGGTGGTGACCATGTTGACATACTCATCAGGGATTCCTCCGTCGGGCTGTGGAACCTCCTCATTGTCCATGTCATTGTCCTCACGCTGCCAGTGCACCAAGGGGGTGCTCGCCGTTGTTTCCTTCAGGGCGGTGATCTTCTCGGTGGGGCTCTTTTTCTTCATGGCCTTGTATTCAGGATCCCAGGTCAGTTTCAAGCGATGGTGCTTGATGCGTAAGGCCATCAACGATCGAGCCGCCTCCTTCGTGAGCCCGTCAGCGATCTGTCGATCAGAGCTGACCCACTTCAGAATGCCGCCAAGCTCCTGCAGCCGCTCTTTCATCACCCGAATCTCGAGTGAGACCCTTCTATCAACCACTGAAGACGTAGTCCCCTCCCTGTGGTAGGAGTCGTAGAGCGCCTTCGCGTCTGTGATGACCACGGGCCTCAGTGTTGACGTGGCCTTGAGGAGATCTCGCAGTGGTAGGTCTGGTTCAAGAAGATGATGCCAGTACCTACAAATGAAGTCCACTGCATCGCTGGCTTGTCCACCAGCTTGAGCTTCGGCTCCCAACGAAGAGCGTGACACTCTAGGTGTTTTGAAGGACCGCCAGTCAATCACATGGTAGTCCCCCTCCTCTGAGGAGCTCAGGAGGTGCTCGTTGATGAACATCACGATGTAGCCACCTTGGGAAGTTCCATCCGCTCGGGAGGAGAAACCAGCATCGAAGAAACACACCAACCTCAGCTGCTCTGCAGGACCCAAGTGGTTGTAGCACAGGCCTGCATCCTTGTGTTCTTTTGCGAACTTCAGCAGCCGGTTGCAGTCAGCCAAAGTTTGCACAGTGCCATGGTTCACGTGAGCAGCAAGTTGAGAAGTGCTGCACTGTAGATGCGGTGAGGTCTGAACCGCTGGCCATTGCAAACTTCCAAGAAGGCCCCGTAGTTGAGTGATCTCTCTCTCATGCAGACTTTCGTGTGTGCCTCTCTTCTTGTCGTAGGAGATCGGGGTGACCTTCTCGAGGTACTTGGTCTGGTGAAGCTTGCGACCGCCAGCCTCTGTCTTCTCAATTTCACAGCCACAGTATTCCAGGATGGGCTCTTCTTCTTTCCACTCTCGAAACGAGAAGCGCTCCTGAAGTTGCTGCTTCACGGCATTGTACCTCGGACTCGAAGGACAGCCAGCACCCAACAGGTCATCAACGTGCATGATAATCATGCCCACCAGTTCTTGTGATCCCAAGTGGCTGGTGTTGTTCAGCTTGGAAGTGTCCTTCTGGTAGTTCTCATCGTCCACCTCATAGATCAAGAAGGCACAATGGTCTAGGGCATGTTGTCGCAGGCCCAGCTTCTGAAGGCGGTCAACTGCCTCCAAATACCAGCCCCTCGGAGCGTCGATCTGGCCGTAGCAGGGCTTCAGGAGCAGCATCCTGGTGTTCTCGTCTCCTCCCAGGAGTGCTAAAGCTTCAGCCGGAAGCTTGACCCAAAGTTTCCTGTCTTGACTGCGGCCTTGGAGGAAGGCGGTGCTGACATCGGCAGTCCACAGTCGCCATTTCATGGTGGCAGCCAAAGAGAGCACCATAGATCTCGACAGCCTGGTTGTTGTCGGTGAGGATGTTTCCACCTGTCCAGCTAGAGCATCGGGATCAGCAAATCCTCTGACAATCAGGCGAGCCTTCGCCCGAGGTGATCCATCGGGGTTCTTGGACCACTTCAAGAGGATGCGGCTGGTCAGAGTGCGAGCAGGGTCGGCCTCCTTGGTCGTGTCGAAGACCCATACGTGGTGGTCAAAGAAGCTCTTCAACTCCTTCACCTTGGCCTCTTTGAACATGGCTCTTTCGTGGGGTCCAAGGAGTCGCTCATTCACGCCGTTCTTGTCCTTCTTGAACTTCTTCTGGCGTGCCAACTTTTGTTCTTTTCCCTGCTGTCTTGCACTTGTGCAGTTTTGTCGTCCTTGGCCGCTGTACATTGCCATCTCCTTTCTGGTGGAGCCATTGATCTGGAAGATGGTAGCACCCGTCCAGGAGGAAGTGACATTCGGAGGTGCAGAGCTGTCAGTGCCATCATCAGTGTGGAGACGACTTGTTCCGTTGTTGAGGTGCACTACGGTTACCCTGATTCTGTCCAGCTGGTCGCGCTCGATTGGGCAATCCCTGGGCAGTTGATCGATGTGGAGTCTGCCACGTCGAGGCGTCAAGTGGTGCCGGATCAGACAACCAGCACGAATCTCCCAGAAGTCGGTGGTGCGGTCAGTGAGCTGCAAATAGCCATGCTCATCCATTGTCCAGCCAGAGGGAAGCATCTTTGTGTCAATGTCATCCACGTGGAAGGCCTGACCTGCAAGATCATCGGTGGACGGTGGAGTTGGTGCAGTCTCCGAGACAGGGTACGGTGTCACCTCAGCCCTAGTGTGACGTCGAAGCGGTGCAAAGCTGATGGTCTCCTGTCGGTTCAGCCGGAGACGTCTCTGTTCAAAGCCCTCTCCAACGGCAGGTTCGTAGAGCTCGGCAGTGATGGAGTCAAGAGCTGGTGTGGTCTGTGGAGGAGCGGAACGATTTGCTCTTTGTTGATTCGGACTTTGAGCGTCTGCTGGTGTTTGTGGTGCTGTCTGAGCCGGTGGCTCTTCACTGGGTTCAGAGATGGACGCAATGCTGCTCGGTACCCGCGGCAAAGGCGGTGGTGCTGCCGGTCCTTCCGGCTGTGGTGTTGTTGGCGCAGCTGGCATCATCTCGAATGGTCCTGGTGCGGAGGCTTGTGGGCTTCCATCGGCACGAGAGGTTGGAGTGTAATCCTCCAAATCAACCATGGGCAGCTCGTGTAGCTGTTGTGGTGCATCAGCAGGCGGCACACCCCGTGTGGGTTCTGGAGTGGCTTCAGTACCTGGTGGTAGAAGACGTGGTCTTTGACAAGGCGGTGACAGCTCATGATCTGACTCGTCCTCAATGAGGTCACCTGCAGGATCATCCATATGGGCGTCACTGTCCACATCCACCAGGTTGCTCTTGTTGAGCTGGTGCACGTCATAGTATCGAAGTGACACCTCGGGACTTGAGCTGTCGAACAGTAGTGAGCGCAGATTGAACATCATCCAATGCATGCTGAGAGCCCTTGATGTCGGCTCTGACATGGTGTGGGGCACATCGGATGAGCTGCGTCTTGTAGGCCAACCAGTACACGTGAACTCGATCTTGGCCCTCACCATCCTTCTTGTGCTCCTTCATGACGACATGTGCTGGGCCCAACCACCTGATTTTCACCAAGTCCGGCTGACGAGCATCTCTCCAGAACCAAACTTGTTGTCCGAGGCTGTACTCCGAATTGAGGCCTTTGTATTTTGCCCCGAGTGCACGTCGGAGTCTCTTGTCAGCATCGGCCTCGATCATGGCCTTCTGAGCGGCGCTGCGGCGAGCCAGGGTCAGTTCGAAGTCCTCGTGGCCGCCGAAGTGTGCTGGTTTGAAGGTGTCTGCAAGAAGACTGCCAGCCAGTTGTGGTTGATATCCAAGCACCCATTGTACAGGTGAGAAACCTGCCACTGTGTTGCTGCCATTGAGTTGAGGAACACAGTAGACCAAGGCCTCCTTGATACCCTTGGCATTATTGCAATGTTGATCAGAACAGTAGATCTCCACGGCCTTGCGCAGTAGTGCATGCCGGCGTTCGACAACAGCCAAGCGCTCATGTGCCTCACCGGGGGCGACCTCGTGGAAGATGCCATGAGCAGTGCTCCATTCCTCAAAGATGCGACTTAGCCACGGGCGACCCTCGTCAGTGATGAGACGTTGTGGTGGACCGAAGGTGGAGAGCCAGCATCGCTCCAAGGCCTTGATGTACTCCTCAGACTGTTCGTTCCGCAGCAAGTAGGCAGAGGTGTAGCGAGTGGCCATGTCAACCACGCTGAGGACTGGATACTTGTCCTTGCCCATTCGGATCCAGAACACATCAGCTTGGAGAATCTGGTTGAAGGTGGCAGTCTGTGGCATGGCTGCAGGTGCAGCGTCTCCAGGCTTCTTGTATTTCGCACAGGCAGAGCACACATAGTTCCGGGCTGCTTCGATCACCTCTGCACTGGCTCCTCTTGTCGCAAGCAACTCGGCCAGCTCGGCAGGTCCAGGATGTCCAAGGTTGCGATGTAGTCGTTGAACAGTTCTGATGGCATCCTGTCTGACTGTGGTGCGAAGGCGGATCAGATTGCCCGTCGCGATCTTCTGCTCTGCAGTCATGAAGCCCGTCTCCCAAGCCTGTGGGGCTTCTTCAACAGCCATAGCACCTGCCAATGTGGCAGCAAGTGCCGGTTGGTACTCCTCCAAGTACTTGGTGCGCGATCCAAAGCCAGTGGCATGGCCTTCCAGAGCACAGTGCTGATGATCTCCTTGACATTGAAGTGTCATGACATCTTGAAGGGCCTGTTTGGTTGTAAGCAGCGAGGTGCTCTTCTTGACGGGCCGCCATTGTCCATCGGTGTCCATGCAGGCTGCTCCATATCGACATTGGTCGAAGTCAGCTCGACGTCCCGGAAGATCTCTCAAAGCACGAGTGCGCCAGGAGAGCGCGTGCTTGGGCTGTTCAATGTGACCATGACGGCCATTGTGCACTTGACCAAGATAGGCTCTTCGAACAAACATCAGGTGACGATCATGATGATGTTGCCGAGCAGCACGAAGGGCTTCCTGTTGAGCTGGAGTTCGTCTTCCAAGGGATTGCATCTTACTCCAGAGCTTGCACTCAGGTGCCAAGAGAACTTCGTCAGGACATTCTTCGTCTTGTAGTTCCAGGAAGGCGCTCTGGTGGTCCAACCTGTTGAAGTCCCAGCCGGTCTCATAGGAAAACTGCCGAACCTCCATGCCAAGACTCTCCGCCACTTGGGAAGTGCGTGAAGCGCCACAGTACACCTCCCACAATTTTCGTTGAGGTTCTGCTGGATGAAGTTGCTTGGTGACATATGCCGTGAGCTCACTCAGATGAGTGTTCAGGTGGATGTCCATAGTCCTGAGGTCATGGCGCCGAAGTGCCTTGGTATGGGCTTGGTGTTGATCTGCTTCAGGCTCGGTGACGGCGAAGCCAGCTTCTTCCTTCTCGAACTCTGCCAGTGGGACGTCCTCCTCCTGGTCCAGATCAGCTTCGGCGGTCTTGAGGCAGTACTCGGGTTGCTCCGGGTCATATTCAACGAGGGAGTGCTCATCAGTGAGTGACAGGAGGTACTCACCTTGCCGACCAAGCGTGGCCTGTCGCCAGCCACCAGATCCAAAGCGAACCCTGCGAAGTGCAAAGTCCATCGTCATGCCCATGGCCTCAATGATGGGGCGTCCACATAGCATTGGTGTATGACCTGGCAGCAGGAACAGCTGTACGGTGCCATATCGACCGTCCAGGAACACTGGCACATGTGCACTCCAGGTCGACCAGGAAGCTGCATCTCCGCCGAATTGGAAGCGGCGTCTGCCACGAGTCATCTTGATCTTGTCAATCGGGAACTGACAGTCATCCTTCAGGTGTTGCAGGAAGCGGCGAAAAGGGCCATAGCCTGACAGGAAGGCACTCGCACCGGGATCCAACATGACACAGTCAGGGCGTTGATGTCCATTGTGATCCTCAAAGATGATCATGCCCTGCTCCTTCTCCAGAATCTGCGCCATACCCTCAGTGGGGGCTGGGCGCTTGAGACCAGTGCCCTTTGAGGCGCTTTGGGGACAGTTGGCTGCCCAGTGACCCTGCTGTCCGCACCTGAGGCAGGTCATATTGGACTTAGCTCTGCCCTTGGGATCGCTTTTGCCAGCACCTTGTGGTGGATATCGAATGGTGGCACTTGGTTTTCCTTTCCCTTTTGATTTGCCGCCCTTGCCTTTTCCTTTCTTCTGCCAGTGCGAAGGGCTCGAGGAGGATGAAGAGTTGGCCATGACAGGTTGCTGGTTGTTGTCCGTGAGGGCGACCACTGGCAAGAAACCTCGAGCCATCTTCAACTCATTGAACCTGCGCCTGGCATCAGTGTAGGAGGCGAACGCCGTGTCATATTCATCAGCAAGACGTTCTGGGCTGCCGGTCTCATCAGGCTCCTCTGGCCAGGGTTCTTCACCATAGTAGGCAGCGTCGGCGTCGAACTCCTCCTCCTCGTAGTCGTAGTCATAGTCGGCCACCTGTTCATCGACTTCATAGTAGCCGGTTTCATCATCCCAGCCGGAGTCTTCACCTTCCCACCATTCATCTTGTGCCGCGTAGGCCCGACTGCTATTGCCCCACCTCTGGAAGCGCTTGTTGCGATCATGATTCCAGCCGCCAGCCTTGTAGTCTTGGCCGAACAGGAGATAGAGGGCTTCGATGATCGCGGCTTTCTCCAATGTGGGTGCCTTCAATGTGACCAGCTGTCGTTGTTCCTTCGTCAAGGCGGCTCGACGCAGCAAATGCCACCCTTGAACGGATTCAGGAAGGGACACTTTATGTTGTAGGAGTTTCCTGTAGGCCTCCTCATGATCGTTGACATAGGTCAGGAGTGTTTGACCTGGAGCACGTTGGAGGAGGTTGAAGTATCCTTCGAAGTCTGAAGGAAGCTGGACTCGTTGGTTGTACGAGAAGTTGCTGTCCAGTAGATTCAACATGGTCTCGAAGGCATCGTCCTCGTCGAAGCGGTCCAAAGGCCAGTCTTCGAACAAACGCCAGACCACCCCCTTGAAGCTCCCAACGATGTTGAGGACCCCCTCACTTGCCTTCTTTGCCAGCGTCATCTTCCGGTAGTAGAGCTGCACTCGCTGGCGCCATTCACGATAGTCAGAAGGCTGACCGCTAAACAGTGGCACATAGCTGTCACGGACATCAGTGTAGGAGGTGTCCTCGGTCGAGCTGGTTCCGGAGCCCTGGGCCTTCCCCTTTTGTTGACCTTTCTTTTGAGACATCCACGAGGTCAAAGAACACGATGTAGCCCCTCCTTCAAAGGTGTTGTTCAAAGAGGTCGGGTGAGAGGAGCGTAGCAAACTCGGCAAGGGGTAGGTGACCAAGGTCTTGTCCAGAGCGCTCAGCTCGTTCAAGCGAAGTCCGCAGCGGGAGCCCTCGCCCTGGAAGGGCTCGGGCTCCGCTACCAATGTCAAAACAGAGGTAGTGTCCGAAGAACTACGTGTGAGGTGAATGAACACGAGGATCAAGCACAAGCGAATTGGAAGGTCAAACAAATGACCGCGGCCGCGCGCCGTTTTCGGCATCTCAAGCCCGCCCTGCGGTGCGAGCAAGTCAGTCAACCTAGTTCGACGGCGTCCGAACTCACACAAGCAATTACAGGGCTTCGAAAAAATACTGACTGTAGGTCATGAGGGCACAAGCTGACTAACAACTATCACCAGTCCAGCCTGGTCAACGTCATACTGTCATACTGTGTCTCCACCCTTTGCTTTGCCCAAAACACAGACACCCCTCCCTGGCCACAACCGTGCAAGCACAAACACCCCGCGCCCAAACCAAGCCACCTGCGAGTTGGATCACCTTCCACCGGCGCGGCTCCACGAAGACTGGGGACTTGGCAGCAGCGGCCACCGACGCAGCCGCGCGCTCCTGGGTGGCGGCTGAAGAGGCTCGTTGCAGAAGGAAACGGACGGGGTGTGGGTTTGGCAACAGATCTGACCAATGACTCAGCTGGGGAACAGCAGGAGCAGCAAGCAGTGAACAAACCGCTTAGACTCAGAAAGACGCGCACTGGCGCAGGCTCCATGCTGGCACTCTCTGTCGCTCCTTCCCAATCTGGTAGCAACCGACCTGAGTGTCCACCACATGCAGCCAAACGGGTTCGAAAACCAAGGGCGTTCCACTGAAGCAAAGGTTTCCGTCCTACAATTCAGTGACAAAGGCTGTCCGGACAGTTCCGGCAGGATTGAAAAAAAAGGCGAAGGGCCAGAGGTTGTTGCCAACAGCTGCCGCAGCCAAAAAGCCCAAGCCAAGCACTCTGTTCAAAAAATACATCACTCCTACAAAAGCAACTCCCCCTTTACCCTCTCATCAATTCGGCCGGATTCCCTCCCAATCTCCCAAAGTCCAGCCCAAACTTCCTCGAACCTCCGGCCGCAGCTCCCCATCCCAGCGGCCACGAAGAGCGTCTTGGGCTCTCGTTCCAGCTCTCTTCGGGTGATCTCCTGCAGCCACTCACACGCCACAGCCTGCGGCACAAAGCGCCACCGCGCCGAGCAGTAGGTCGTGTCCAGGAAGAGCTCCTCCAAACGCGGGACCGGCGGCGCGGTGGGACCGGTGAGACGAAGCAAAAGGGTGGGGCGAAAAAGGTACAAGGTTTATTTGGGTTCCCTGAGGGGTGGTCTTGTGACCTGTGTAAACAGCCAGAAGCTGTGCTTCATGTGGAATAGAACAGCTTGAAACCAGGGGATTCCTGAGAACAGGCTCATCATTCCGCTCCACAAAGAAATAGCCAGCAGGAAGGATGGTTTGCATCAACCCCGTCAGGCGGTTGCCAGGCCACTTGCAAGCTCCAAGCGGATTCTCCGAGAATCTGATGCACAAATTGAGAAGGAAGCCAAAAAGCCCCTCCTCGACACTTCGGCCAGCTAACCAGCGCTGCAGCTGCGTGCGGGTGTCATTGGAGGCGCGGCAGTCACCTGGTGTTCGGCGCACCCCGTGGGAACCCAGCTGGGGGCCCAAGCAAACACAAAGCATCGCGGCATCGCATGTTCAACTATTGGACGATCCTTCGTGACTGGTGTATAGTAGTGCTCAAGTTTTCCTCATCCGTGGTGTCTGGCGGGGACGTCTGCAGCTCAGCTGCCGGTGTGGAGGATCACGCCATCCACGCCCGGGGCCTCGCAACCGGACCAATGAGCACGAGCACAAGCTACAACACACGACACGGGTGCGGATGGACTGTGAATTGCAGGAGGCGGCAGGTGTCACAAAAACATGCTGCCTCTTGGATGGAGCATGGGGAACGAAAATAAAAATCGTTGCCATCCCAGCCCAGTTTGCCCCGCCAACTTGGTGGCTTTGGTGGGGCCTGCCGCCCTCCTCGCCTCAAAAGCCGCCATGGCGCTGCCAGGGCAATGCCCAGCATCCACGAAGGTCAAGGAGACTCCTTGCACCTGGTCAGGCGCATCACATCGCATAGCGGGCTGCCTCGGACACCTTATAGCCTGTCATAGCCTGGGCTTGCATCATCTGGGAACGGAGCAATAGTAGAGGGGGCTTTTATATGGCAAGTGGTTCCGGCTTGCATCATCTGAGATAATGTAGTAGCACACGTATGAACAATGCCCGGAAACCATTAGAGACTCGATTGCTCTTTGATGGTATCTGATCTGGCCAGCTTGCCCTTGAAGCTGGTACTGCCCACAGCATCGGAAAGGATAAGCCCAGCTAAACAACTGAAATATTACGTATTCGTGGTTGTCTTCTTCACCAGTGGCAGAGCAAATTTTGTCCCAGCTGGCCTCCACCGTCTGCTCCAAAGGCAATGCACGGACATGAGCAGGGTCCACGCCCATCATGTTTATGATCAAGGCTGCCGTCACCTCCTTAGATGTGGTTCCTATGAAGAAAGCTCCAGCCTCCAAAATGTCTTCTCCCAGTCCACCTCCAAGCCCAGGCACCGTGCAATAGATAGTTCCAGAATCAAAGCCCCTGGTCAGCCCCACCGTGTGGTCACTGTGGAAGTGCGTGAGCACATAATGCTTCACCTCCGGACCTCAGCTGATCACACTCGTCGGGCTGGTCCAGTCGTCCCCAGAATCGTGTCCAGTCATCTCCAGTCATTGGTGATCGAATCCATTCGGCGATGAGTGACCACACCAATGGGACCGGGAGGTGCGATGGCACCCCAAACCAAAGGACGAACTGGAGCTCGATCTGCGTAGAAGGAGCAGCAAGCGGGGGCCGAAAGCGACAAGACAGGCAACCACAAAGAAAACACAGCGACTCCACCACTGAGAACCCGCACGCTTGAAGAGGAAACCGTCAACCAGAAAATCCTGGGCACAAGAACTGGACAAGCCTTGCACATGTGGACCCTATGCAAAACGACCGGAAACTGGGCCCCCCGGCTACGCCATTCAGGTGCACTAGCTTGGCGTCTTGCGTCTGCGCCGCCATGCCACTGCCCCATTGACACTTACATCACTCGTGTCTGTGCACCCTTGCTTGCGCAAGCATGCTCCTTGCAAGCCACAAACCTAGCTTAACACCTTGCACAACAACATGCGATCAGTATGAGCGCAGCTTCTGTTCTACCGCTCCCGCTCCCGCCCTTCTACAACCCGCTGCTACTCCGTGATGAATTTTGGCCAGGCCGGCGGCCTAGGGCCCGGGCCCATGTTGCCCCACATGAGTCTTGAGCCTCGAAGCTGTGAAGACAGAAGGGAGGCCGAAGTCAGAGCGCTGCCGGCGATGCCAATCGAACGAAGGGAGATCGAAGGGAGATCGAAGGGAGATCGAAGGTCTGAGGCCTGGGTAAACGAGTGGGTCGGACTACATGGCATCTTCGGGCATGAGGCGACAACCGCAGAAAGCAGCAATGTCATTGATGCATGTGGAGGCCGGGAAGGCCATCCCTCACACCCACTCTCCTGGAAATCAGTGACCTGCAGATCAGGTTTGCCAGTAAGTTCTGCAACATCTCTTTCCATCTTGCACTGAAGATGCGAATGCCTAACGGTGAAACAACAAAATCTGCCGAGCTCGGCCACTCAGAAAGCCTGCCATCCATAAATCAGATCGACTTGCAACGCTTCTGGGCTAGGTCGTACCACAACCATGGCCATAGAAGATTTGCAAGCTTCGTTTTCTGGAGGCACATGGCAGTGCTTCCTCGGCCACGTCGTACCACAACGATGGCCATGGAAGAACGGCTAACATTGCTTCTGTTGGGAAGCAAAACTACAGAAGCAGGCGGCCATCCATCTTTCGATGCACCCCTGACAAGAACCGCGGGTGTGCGAAAGAGAATGTTCAAAGCGGATGTTTGCAACTATATAGTTGGTCAACAGTTCCGGAACTGTTGGTTAACAGGTTGGGTCAAGCACCAAGGGTAAGGCCAATGTCTTCCAAGCCCTTCCTCTACTTTCTCAACCATGCCCACAAAACATAATCCTGACTCGGGTTTTCACAATCAAGGTGCTTTCCAATAGGACCAAGGTGTTGATTTCGGAGAGGGACCTTGCTCAGGTTGCTCTCAGGCCGCTTCATCGTTTCGCATGGCTCACTTTTCGGCCTCTGCTGGAGAGGATCCATGTAGAAATATCCCAGCAATGGTCCAAACCCACAGTCATGTGAGTCGAATCACTACATGAAACCTGATTGGCACTCGAGCATGACATACTCCGTCTTCTGGTTCCATGCTCATTACTATCTAAATGCGAAAGCACTCTTCGAAGGCCGGCACAGAGACATCTATGAGGCTGCCTGAACCCGAAAGCCTGAGACTGAGTCAACACAATGTAGAACTGACAGAAGGTCTGAGCTTAAGGTGTGTATGGCCAAACGGGCAAACGAGCTCGATCATCGAGGAAGACCAGACTACGGACACTGAAACCACCTTCCAGCTCCAGGTGCTTGGCCACGTGCGCTGGACAGCGCCCACCCAAACTCCAACCGATTAGAATCACTCCGAACTGTCCAATCCGGAAAAACCCGCTAGAGACCTGCGAGGTGGCCCAAGGCTGTGCAACCCCAAGCTCTCACCAAATCGGGGGTGTCCACGCTGCATAAAACCTGAAACAAGCTGGACGCCAAGGCCACAAAAGTTGAGCCAAGTGGACCCTGTCTGCACGCACCAGCAAAAGCGAGAATCTTCGAGGCAAATCCATGTGGAGCGCACAACGGGCGCTGCTTCGAAACACAAGAATTTGGGAAACCACAAAAACCCTGACTCCTCTCACCCCTTTGACCCCAGTCTCTGGCACAGAGTTGCCACGCACGACAGCTGAAGCAGTTTCCACGCGTCTTCAAACAGGTTTCCCCTCGGAGTGGAGCGGTCTCCGAATGGCGTGGCACATCTCGGCGGTGGCGACGCGTGCCTGGCAAGCAAAGCGGCACGGTGCAAAAAGGCGAAGCGATTCACGTGGGCGTCCAAGCTTGTTGGAAGAGTTGCAGAACACTCGCCAAGCTGAAAAACATTGGGCAAGTGACCACCACTTGATTAAGGCAAAGGAATCAAAGGAAAGAATGGAGCGATCGGCTCTTGCGGCTGGCCAGGCAATTGCTTGGCAAACAATGCCAGGTGCAGTGGTTCTGTGGTTCAATCATGCTCAAACTGGAGGTGCCACATTTGGGGAAGATCTCAGGAAGACTTGTGCCATCAAGGGCCAAGGGCAGCCTAGCGAAACGTTGTGCCATCAAGGACTGCAGACTGCACACGATGTGGAGCGACTGTCATAGACTCCAAGGTGTCACATGAGCTGCGCAACAAAATCTCAAATGAGTCAAAGGCCACCGAAGCAGGATCTCGAGCATGTGGGAATGGCAAGACGGGTAGACAGCATGGTGCGCTGGGATCATTGGCGCGCATCCAGATCTACTAGTGGATAGCACTTGTCCCACAAAAATTGGTGGCCCCTACAAGGCTGGGTCCCTTTTGGGTTTGGTGCATTGTTCATCGCACAGTTGCTACGACCGTGAAGTTCCTCCCGAGTCTGCAAAGTGTTCCGGCCATCATTCGTAGTCCTCTAAGACCTCTTCATGGCCAACTCTGCTAGCTGGGTGAGCCTCTTGGGCTTGAGCAAGCTTGCACGACAAGTTTCAAGCACAGGTCCCTCAGCTCAACCCACCTCCTCCAGTCCAACACGCATAGCACAGCAGGTGTCATGTGACGGTTGCGATCGACGTACTTGCACTTGTGGTGAGAGGCATGTATATCAACAGTCCATTTGCCAAGCAAGCCTGAAGGCTACACATGTCAGGCCTTCCGCCTTGAGTCCTCAGAAGGCATTTCGCGGCCAGGGCCCGCCAGAGCGATGTCATCTGCCATCGGCCCAAGCCGCAACCGGCCCACCGGTTTCAACCGATGTCGCGTAACGGCTCTCGTCCGTCGGCGATTCTCGTGACACAGGACCCGTGTGTTCCCGGTGGCTGACGGGCAATGCTGCAGGTGAATGGTCGCCTGGTAAATCTGACCGCTCGGGCAGGGCCATTTACATACAAAAAAGTCACAATGATGATTGAAGGGAAGGTGTTCTCATCTCCAGTTTGAGCAAAATAGGATCAAACTTGCAGGGCTTTGAGGTTGCCTCGCCGCATGATATTACTCGGATGAAGACTGCAGAGCATGCCTCCCGCCAAGATGCAGGCTTCCCGGTCACTCTGCCGGGTTGGATGCCCCGCCAAGCATCCAACAGCTTCAACTCACACAGCAAGGCTGGAGGCCTTCAACAGCCTAGCTTCACAAGTACATGTGAGCATGTGAAACATTGGCACATCATAAGCTCCTGGATTTCGGCTTTTGCCTTACCCTCGATGTTTTATTGCACTGAAAGGGTCTGTTTGTTCAATAGTAAAAAGGTGACATGAGCTGGGTTGAGATCGTTAAAGACAGGTTGCATTATATCTTTTATTGCGCTTTTCTTATTGATCATTCAGTGGAGCATACCATTCTCAAAGACTAATTTAGCAGGCTCACCCGCTTCGCCCTTCAGCTCCCCTGCCATGTAAGCGCTATGATTGAATCGCAAAAACTGCCTCCGCCAGTCACTTTGTCCTGGTCTAGTTGTTTTTCTTGCCTTTTGATCTGGAGACCTGTTGAAGTTGTTTGACCACATCTTGGAGTAATGAAGAAGCCTCCTTCGTGGTGGGGCAAAGCCGAAGCTTGGTGCGAATCACTCTTAAGTTCACAGTTGGGCAAGTGTGCCGACTCGCTATCGCATAGAAATCTCAAGCTTTGCCAGCAAGCGACGACGCCTTGGTCCAGAGTCTCCGCTCCAAGGGAATCCTCACGGAAGACAACAAGTGGGCGTACCTCACCTGGGACACCCAGGCTCAGCTGCTGAAGGCCAACAAGACACCACCTTTGGCCTTTGGCATCGGACGAGATGAAAACGCCGTGGAACGCGTGGCTCATCTTGGACAGCCGGGGGTCATCCAGTTCTCGGCCTTGCACCCGGTGAACCAAGAGACTTTGCCTCGCACTAACCGCCGCCAGACCGTGGAGACTCGACAGCCTGAGGTCCACGGGAGCCACAGAGCTTTACCATTTGTGGAAGCTGTCGGGCAACGGAATCTCACAGCTGGTGCGTTGGGCGAACCTTCAACGGTCGCCACGCAATCCTTCACGGGAGTCCTGGTGGCTCAACGTTCGCACGAAGGTACCTAGATAGCCGGCAATGTAGCCGGCAGGAACCAGTTGACACTTAACCACCTCCTCACAGGAAAGCCTCAAAGTATGTAGATGCATCACTTACTAGCTTGGCAGATTGAAGGCTTTAGGCATCGAATTACTTCCTAACACCTGGCACATCAAACATGATTTCTACAACTCAGTGCCAAGGTCTAAAGTCCAGTGGGCTCCTTTAATGCGTGACATTCACAGTCACTGAAAGACACAAAATTGCTCTCAACCTTGTCATGGCAGCTTCTGGACAACGTCCGTCTTGGCGCCAACCTAGGACCTATAATGTCTCAGCCGAACCAGTCGACCAACCGCTTGGCAGCACGTCGGCAAGCCTGATGTACTTGCTGCAGGTCTTCCAACATACAAATTGAGGAGCCCGCAAGCGTGACGAGAACGCTGTGCAACAGGTGTTGGTCTTCCAACATACAAATTAAGGAGCCCGCAAGCGTGACGAGAACGCTGTGCAACAGGTGTTGGTAGACTGCTTCCTTACCTTTGCTTGACTGTACTGCTCACGTCTTGGATGAAACCACCTCCAAACTGCAAGTTCGTGCGGCTCGCTTCATTGCATCAATAGAGGCCACACATGTCATCTAGCTGGTTGACAACAGAATACACACTGATCGAGCCCTAATCATGTTCGTCCCCTACATTGAGTCGCACATACAGCACCGGTGAAACGGTTTATCGTGGAAACACTTGATCCGGGTGACTGGAAGGACTTCTCCAGGCAAAACACCCAGTCAACACGCGGTTCATGCATTCACATCAGTGTGTGAACAGTGCATTGGGCCACAGTAATGTAGAAAAGGGGTCGAAAGCTCTATGACCCAACTGCAAAATTTCGCGGATTTTATGTTGTGATGGCAAAAGGCCCCGCCTTCTTTGGTGGGTTCCAGGCATGTCTGGCACAAATTCCACAAGT